TGGGTTCAGTCCAAGCACAATGATACAAGCATTGCCCATTTCAAACGGCAAACAGGCCAAAAAACATCCTCCCTTCATTTCCCTTTATCTCTGCTCTCTCTTCCTCTCACCTTATGCAAGTATCTGTAGATATCAGCATCTTTCCTAGACAAGAACATTTTAAGGTATTAGCAACCATTTGAGATTTTTTTTTTCCCCTCTAAGAAATGTTAAGAGTATTTAGTTATAAGCCCGGAATAGGATTACCCTTTTCTTTTTAAAAGCCTTCTCCTGTGAAAGAGATCTGCTTATATTTGACAACAGAATCTTGTAGGGTTCTGAAGGGGACCCTGAAAGGGTCAGCTAACAGCAGCACCTAGTCTGTTCTTTCCCTAATACCATTATTTTGGGAAACTTTCACTGAGAAATTTGGAACAGACTTAAGTATCCAAAAGGTAAGAGTTCCTTTATTTCAAAAGTAAGGGGTAACTGCAAGACAATTACCTGATTTAGGAAAGGGAAGAGTGCTGGGATGAAACTGGCAAAACCATCAACGTTGTTTATTGTTCATGTAGTACCCACCCAAACAGTAATTTTTGTATTGTTACAAAGAATTACCTTAGTCCTACCCTAAGACTGCTCCAGTGAAACACTGAGGATCAGTGAAGGCCTGTATGATGCAAAGAACTATGCAAGAATACCACCATAAGATCTTAAGATTTTACTTCACCACCAGTTTTCCAACAAAGAGATAAAAAAAGTCACTTTCACAGCACACTGTGAGAATGTCACATGTAGCATCACTATATTCTGCTTAATAAAGAGCAGCAATCAGAAACAGCAATCTGTTAAAAAGAAGTTGATTAGAATTTCTTAATTCCAAACCATCCCACTACATCAGTTCATCTTTAAATGTGTTGTCTTTTAGAGAAACATTGCTAGATTTTTAGAACTTGGTAAAAAAAAAAAAAGTCTGACATTAGGAATAAAAGCATGAAATAGACTGTGGAAACTAAATATTTCTAAGTGAAGCTTTTTTGCTTACAGGTGCAAAAAGAATACTCAGATTTGTCTATCATTACCTTCAGGGCCAGCACATTTGATGCACTAAACATTCTAGGCAGAGACAGGATTATTACAGAGTTCTGTTTTTGATTTGCACCGAGTTCTTGGAACCATTTGGATATTAAGAGTGAAGCTAACTGACTTTACTCTTTGCACCTTGGATGCAGCCCTCAGGATTTCCTGGCATGTCACCAAGGAAGTCCTCGGCAGGTTTAATTCATATCTGTTTCTCATCTAATACCCAAGTGTATTTACAGAGATACTTATAGCCACATTCTATGTACTTCAAATGAAAAGGTCCAGACTTTTGCATCTATAAATACATTAGTTTGTTAAATTAACATTTTCATACGATTGCAGTGCATAGTTTGACTTTTCATTTTGTCCTCGGTGGAAATGGATGAAAGGTTCACTAACATTGTGTCCATACATATTTTTTAATTATTTTTTCGAGCTGCAATAGGAAAAAAAGAGAGGGGCTCTTGTCGTGTGCTTTCCCATTAAATACTTTGGATGATATAGATGACTTTTTAATTTTTTTTTTTTTTAAACATATATAAGCTCTGAATCATGCAAAATATGACCACCTGAGCTACATTAGTCTAATGTAACTGGGCAATTGGTGAAGCTGTCAGACTGTTCAAAGTGCTAGTGATAGTCCATTCTTACAGTGCCAGCCTGATGTGTGGGACAAGTTAAAAAAAAAGCAAACCACTGAGGCATCACCATACGCTCGTTGTGTTTTCCATTTTGGTATTCCCAGCCAACCACTCTCTCTTGACATCAGTAGTTGACATTTACCACTGCACCAACATAGTTAGAAGCAGTAAATTTGTGTTTTGTTTTGTTAGCAGCTATACACTCAGTGCTATTCATCATATATAGGTGGGTCTCCATCACTTGAAAACGTTGACAGTTTCTTTCCATGATTCTGCACATGATCTTCATTCATCTTCTCCAAAGCTTCAATCTAGAGAGACAAAATAAAACCGTGCTGAAATCATAAAACCACACCTCCACCAGAATGCTGCTAAACAGTGTTAAAAACTAGATCACAGAGCAGGTATATACTGTGCTGCTATTTCAGTGATGGGAGCCCCCGGTGGTGTAGAGGAAAACACACTGCACTGTCACTGCAGAGACCCGGGTTCGATTCCCGATCGGGGCCCCTCCCCGGGCAGATGGAGCTCGTTAGCCCAGAAGGCAATCCATCTACGTCCTGAGGACCTCGCTGCCACCGTCCAAGCGTGCTTGGCCCCGGCAGATGAACCTCAGGATTAAAGNAATTATAGTAACAACTGTGGGTTCAGTCCAAGCACAATGATACAAGCATTGCCCATTTCAAACGGCAAACAGGCCAAAAAACATCCTCCCTTCATTTCCCTTTATCTCTGCTCTCTCTTCCTCTCACCTTATGCAAGTATCTGTAGATATCAGCATCTTTCCTAGACAAGAACATTTTAAGGTATTAGCAACCATTTGAGATTTTTTTTTTCCCCTCTAAGAAATATTAAGAGTATTTAGTTATAAGCCCGGAATAGGATTACCCTTTTCTTTTTAAAAGCCTTCTCCTGTGAAAGAGATCTGCTTATATTTGACAACAGAATCTTGTAGGGTTCTGAAGGGGACCCTGAAAGGGTCAGCTAACAGCAGCACCTAGTCTGTTCTTTCCCTAATACCATTATTTTGGGAAACTTTCACTGAGAAATTTGGAACAGACTTAAGTATCCAAAAGGTAAGAGTTCCTTTATTTCAAAAGTAAGGGGTAACTGCAAGACAATTACCTGATTTAGGAAAGGGAAGAGTGCTGGGATGAAACTGGCAAACCCATCAACGTTGTTTATTGTTCATGTAGTACCCACCCAAACAGTAATTTTTGTATTGTTACAAAGAATTACCGTAGTCCTACCCTAAGACTGCTCCAGTGAAACACTGAGGATCAGTGAAGGCCTGTATGATGCAAAGAACTATGCAAGAATACCACCATAAGATCTTAAGATTTTACTTCACCACCAGTTTTCCAACAAAGAGATAAAAAAAGTCACTTTCACAGCACACTGTGAGAATGTCACATGTAGCATCACTATATTCTGCTTAATAAAGAGCAGCAATCAGAAACAGCAATCTGTTAAAAAGAAGTTGATTAGAATTTCTTAATTCCAAACCATCCCACTACATCAGTTCATCTTTAAATGTGTTGTCTTTTAGAGAAACATTGCTAGATTTTTAGAACTTGGTAAAAAATAAAAAAGTCTGACATTAGGAATAAAAGCATGAAATAGACTGTGGAAACTAAATATTTCTAAGTGAAGCTTTTTTGCTTGCAGGTGCAAAAAGAATACTCAGATTTGTCTATCATTACCTTCAGGGCCAGCACATTTGATGCACTAAACATTCTAGGCAGAGACAGGATTATTACAGAGTTCTGTTTTTGATTTGCACCGAGTTCTTGGAACCATTTGGATATTAAGAGTGAAGCTAACCGACCTTACTCTTTGCACCTTGGATGCAGCCCTCAGGATTTCCTGGCATGTCACCAAGGAAATCCTCTGCAGGTTTAATTCATATCTGTTTCTCATCTAATACCCAAGTGTATTTAAAGAGATACTTATAGCCACATTCTATGTACTTCAAATGAAAAGGTCCAGACTTTTGCATCTATAAATACATTACTTTGTTAAATTAACATTTTCATATGATTGCACTGCGTAGTTTGACTTTTCATTTTGTCCTCGGTGGAAATGGATGAAAAGTTCACTAACATTGTGTCCATACATATTTTTTAATTATTTTTTCGAGCTGCAATAGGAAAAAAAGAGAGGGGCTCTTGTCGTGTGCTTTCCCATTAAATACTTTGGATGATATAGATGACTTTTTAATTTTTTTTTTTTTTTTAAAACATATATAAGCTCTGAATCATGCAAAATATGACCACCTGAGCTACATTAGTCTAATGTAACTGGGCAATTGGTGAAGCTGTCAGACTGTTCAAAGTGCTAGTGATAGTCCATTCTTACAGTGCCAGCCTGATGTGTGGGACAAGTTAAAAAAAAAGCAAACCACTGAGGCATCACCATATGCTCGTTGTGTTTTCCATTTTGGTATTCCCAGCCAACCACTCTCTCTTGACATCAGTAGTTGACATTTACCACTGCACCAACATAGTTAGAAGCAGTAAATTTGTGTTTTGTTTTGTTTTGTTAGCAGCTATACACTCAGTGCTATTCATCATATATAGGTGGGTCTCCATCACTTGAAAACGTTGACAGTTTCTTTCCATGATTCTGCACATGATCTTCATTCATCTTCTCCAAAGCTTCAATCTAGAGAGACAAAATAAAACCATGCTGAAATCATAAAACCACACCTCCACCAGAATGCTGCTAAACAGTTTTAAAAACTAGATCACAGAGCAGGTATATACTGTGCTGCTATTTCAGTGATACAGTTACATGTACAGAGGGACATATTTTGGAAGTACAGCTTGAAACATCTGTTCTCAACAAGTTACTAAAATGACTAGCACTCCATTAGAGTTTCAAGCTAGGTAACTGAAATGCACCAGTTGCAGGGAGGACTGCATGATTCTTGGGTCTTCAGCTGTATTCCTCAAAGTATAGAAATGTCCCTTTCTCCAACTCTGAACACCTCCACTGTAACTCAGCCAATCCATCAGCACAAGAGAAATTCCAAGTAATACTAACATTACAAATCCACTGCAGTAATTTTTAACAGGGAAAGCTGAAGACAGATATACTTCAGTGTTTTGTGCAATCAAAGTAACACGGTACAGTAGTTTATTTTGGTCTTCTGATTGTTAAGTTTGGATTGCTTCCCCTTCTGCTCCAGGGGAGATAATTTTGACTTTAGCCCCTAGTAACAGAAGTCTGAAGTTTAAGGACAAGCTGCTCAAATTCGCCTCTATGTAAGCAGCAATGTTAAGTCTTTCCCATAAAACCTACAAGCACTAAGGGTGACATAAACCAAGAAAAACACCACACCCTACCTCCCAATGCTCACACTACAGTCATCGAGGGAACTGTTTTTGCTCGATTACCTGATGTAATGATCATGGAACTGTGACATTGCGTTCCCTTTATCTTTCGCTTACTCTGAGGACTTTCCCCAGGAGTTACCTAGTTTCGAGCTGCCACCTACTCCATGCTGGACTAGCATAAACCTACACTGTCGTGAGTAATTAGGTGGAGTAGGATTGCCATGTCGCCCTAACTTTGATTAGTAAATATTGACTGTTTGACAACTTGTTTATTTAATGTCTGATATCAGGATGCATGCCTTGAGGAGTTACAGGCAAAGGTCGAAAATTAAAAGCCGACAGTGACCAAAGATTCCTACATCTATATTTACATTAGCATGATTCAATTGAAAATTGAAAACAGTAGCCTAAGCTTTAAATTCTAATAAATTAATTCTAATAAATTCTAATAACATCTAAACCATAAAAATAAGCAGTAGAACAATTATTATTTTTAACCCAGCTTTCCTTTCTGCAAAACCTTTAATGTATGTAAGGGAAGACAACAATGCTAGCTTTTAAACTAAAACCAGATCACTAGATTTGCCTTAATCCTGAAAGAAGCAATTAAATGCAACGTGAAGCCTTTTACACTTGGGAGCAGGGGGATCAGGAAAGGGGGTGGAGAGGCCTGTCAGTATGAGTATCTGTAAACATTTGTACTACAGTGAAATACTCAAGTTTTTAAAGAGAGATGCAGAATGACTGCTGAAATTTTATTCACACAAACCAATCACGCAAACTAAATGTGGAAAGTTAAGGTATTATAATAGCTACTATAGCTAACCAAATTAAAACTGTTAGACAGAGAAAGCTATACCTCTGCTTGGAAGTCTACTTCATTGTCAGCTGTAATATTTAAACCTGAGACAGCGTTGAAGAGTTCACGCTCATTAAGTGCTTCTGCCACACCTCCTTTCTGGAAGAACTAGTCAACATAAAAAGCACACATTAAACACTTTACTACATAGGACAAAATATTCCTTTTTCTTCCCCAAGTTACAGTATTTAGTCAAAATTAAATTTTTGTTTTTATTGACCCACAGATAAAAATAACTGAAATAAGTTTTAAGTTCTAGTGGTATCATTTTACTCTTCCACACTTTTTTCCCCTTCAGAGAAGAACACCATCAGTATGGACAATACGCAACAGTAAACTTGTATACATGTGGTGGTGATCATTTTTTACTGAGTTGTATTGGTTGATTTTCAATTAGCTCGAGTTGATTTTTATCTTGGAAAACATTCAGCAGAACAGAAGATGGTCAGACAGAGGTCCTACCTGTGCAACATTCCTACAGTCTCTGAACAAAAACTCAAGTCCGTGAGGATGGGTTGGCTCTACAGACTGACTGACATCAATGAGCCAGACCTGTAGTCACAAGAGAAATAACAATTCACTTTGTATTAGAATTTCATGTTGGAGAGAGTGTCCAAAGGAGGGCAATGAAGATGGTAAAGGGCCTTAAGGGGAAACTGTATGAGGAGCAGCTGAGGTCACCTGGTCTGTTCAGGCTGGAGGAGACCGAGGGGAGACCTCATTGCAGTTACGACTTCCTTATGAGGGGAAGAGGAGGGGCAGGCACTGATCTCTTCTCTGTGGTGACCAGTGACATGATCCGAGGGAATGGCCTGAAGTTGTGTCAGGGGAGGTTTAGGTTGGATATTAGGAAAAGGTTCTTCACCCAGAGGGTGGTTGGGCACTAGAACAGGCTCCCAGGGAAGTGGTCACAGCACCAACCCTGAGGGAGTTCAAGAAGCATTTGGATGATACTCTCAGGCCCATGGTGTGACTCTTGGGGATGGTCCTGTGCAGAGCTAGGAGCTGGACTCCATGATCCTTGTGGGTCCCTTCCAACTCAGCATATTCCGTGATTCTGTGAAACCTTTCCTCCCCACATTAAGAACAAACTCACCTTCCCATCATGCCAAAGCATGTTGTATTCACTAAGATCTGCATGGACCAGGTTGCACTCCTTATACAACTGCTGCATCATCTGCAAGGAACCAAATTAATGAAAGAAGTATGCTATACTCCACATAAATATTGCTTGCATGACGATAAAATAAACAAACAAACAAAACGCCTTTCCCCAAAACACTGACCTAATTCGCATAATTTTTAGCCTAGTCTTCAATAAATTTCCACACGCGCAATCGCAGTTTTGGTACTTTGCCAGACAAGTAAGCGTTTATCACTGAACTTAGCTTTGGCAAGTCTGAAGAATTAGTCTAGTAAACTCAGGTCAGCTCTGCCAACCAGTCCAAGTGCACGAGAGAGATAAACACGTTCTCTAAATATACATGTCATTTTCACTTCTATCACAGAGCAAAGAAGTCTCAGAGTTGTACATGCTGAATCCTAAACAGCATACATATTCATTTAAAAGATGGTTGTGTTGCTCACTGGTCTCACAATTTGAGGCCTAGACCATTCCTGTTACCAGCATGCGAGGGTGGTTGCCTGGTTCAGTTTTTTAATTTCTGTAATGTAATAGTGAATAGACAGTTAGCAGGTACATGCTTCAACCAATTACAGCAGAAAATAGAAAAATCCACTGTGCAATATTCCAACTCATTCTTCGTTTTCTAGGTTTGCTGATGAGGGGGATGGGAAGGGCGCGATCACTGGAAAGTGCTTAAGCCTTGTAAATTAAGTGTTTGGTAAGCCCAGAAAGACTTCAGAGAATTTTATAAACCACATGCTGCTTCTATCAAAGGACTACTTGCTGATAATTCCTCTACTGCTAAGTATCTGGCATCAAGTCCCAGCACTCAGATTAAGATTAAATTTAAATATCTTTTTATAGTGGATAGTTTTTTTTATTTATTCTAAGTCACACATTAAACAGCAGCAAAATAAGACTTTGGACTTCGTATCTTGAAAGTGAGGCAAGCATCCTGAAAAGTAAATAAATGATGATTTGCCCTTAATTTGTTCTCCTAAAAGAAAACACAAACCAGAACTGGAGGAGAAATCAGCATTGTCTTACATTGAGAGTCTGATAGTAGGCCTTTTTCATGTCTTCACTACTGAGTGTTACATCCTTTAGTTTAGGAGCTGGGATTTGATCCTTGCCAATGAAAGACATAACCAAGACGTGTTTCTTAAGGATAACCACTTGAGGACAAGGAATTCCTGCATTTTGCATTCTGAGGATCAGAAAATAGATACTGATTAAGAAAAACAAAAGCCCCAAAACCATATAGTCCTAGTTCCTGCTTGCTCATTTCCAATCTGAGAGAGCATGTAAGAAACTTGATCCAGAGTAAAAAAAGTCTTTGAAATAGAGAGAATTGAAAACTGAATAAATATATTTATTTCACATAGGAAAATTCAGATCCTAAAGTCATAAGTGAGTCTAAGAATGCTCACTGAACACCAATCACTTTTACAACAAGAGCCTGACTTCACGGGCTTGTAAATTCTGCTGCCAATTCACTGAAGATGCTGACAACTCATTAAACTGTAAGAAACCAGAGGCTTTTCTAATCTATGGCACATTGTATATTATTTTGACCTAAAAAACAAATCTAAACTTCTACCTAGATATAGTGTATCTTCCTTACACAGAGAAGGCATTAGACAACTACACTTGATATTTTTTTTCTTTACCTTGTTAAGTTATGCATTTCTTTCTCAGCCCACATACGAATAATCTTTCGTGGATTCAATTTACTGAAGCGGTCTTTAAATCTGTAGTCATCCTTGATGTATTTGTCACGGTTCTTGAATTCATTAAGAGTTGTTTTAAACACTTTGATGGCACATTCCGGAGGAATAACTTTATCTTCAGTTGCACTTCTCGTGGAAAAAGCCAAATATATAACAAAGTTAATTATTTGCATCTTTACAGACAAATGCATGCTTTTAGGGTTTTTTATATAATACAAGATACAGCGATTTTTAATGCAAGAGAAGGTCTGACTTCCTATCAAATCTAGAAGCCAACTCAAGTTTATAACAATTCTATGATTAAACGTGCATATGAATGCTTGGGTTTTGGCATTTTGATTATATGTTGCTTATCAAACAGGTTACATCTCCCAGTTTGGTATTATTTTTCCTTAAATGTCATAGCTAATAACAGCCCTGTTAATGGATGTACTTGCTACAAGAATTTACAGGTGAAAATAGTCTTCCCTTGGAACAATAACAGTAGCACCACAGTATTTTGTAAAGCACCACAAAGATATATGCACTATAGTCACTACTAATTTAATATAATCCTTCCAGTGTGGCAGTTTTTACAACTGGACTCTTACATGACTCCCAAAGTGAACAGCATCCCAACACTATGCTCAAGGTAACCCTGAAGTAACAAACACCACCTCCACTGAGCTGCACAGATGGAGCTGACCATACAGCGATCTGTATAGAAAGACAATCTTCAGGTAGCCTAATATCATCATGACAGTTCTATAAGTCTGTTGCAGGTTGGTGGAAAGAGTTCTGCAAAAATCTCAAGACTTCTTTTTTATAAAAGAAGTACTTCTTTTTCTACAGAAATTTGTCTACAGGATTTGTCTCTGTTCATTAAATGGACTCCAAGGAGGAAAGTGGGTATTTTTTTAATTCACGGTTGGTACTATTTGGTTTTTAGATTTTATTATTGTCTGCATACACATGAATACAAACTTTAAAGGCTTGGAAATGAAAAACATGCAGCTGTTTAAATATTTCTGTGGCTTCTGCTTTTTATATCAACTCTGGTACTTAAAGCTACCATCAGTAACAACAACATACTTACTTTCCTCCATAGGCATGAAAAACAACAGATTCTTTTCCTGTGCTGATGCAGCCTGTGATGGTCTCCAGCATCCCAGCATTGACCATCTTGTACAGAAGTAAACGTGTTTTGGGATCCACGGCTTTCTCCTACAGGCAAGAAATGAATTCTCAATTCAGTAAAATAATTCTTTGCTTTACAGCAAATTTAGAATATTTATATGCCACAAGATTTCAACAATGTGGAAAGAATAATGTAATAATAAAATTATCTCAACTGATAAAGAGGAAAAAAAAATAAACTGAAACAAACAGATGAAGCAAAATCAGTCTGCTCCAGGACTGTCATTTTAGGATTTAATACTCTCAGGTTCCTTATCAACTGTGTAACACATTTAGTATTTTACCAATTCCACACAGACTCAACAGCACTTTCTATAGTGTTTTCAAGAAGTCTATACAAATCATGATTCAAAATATCCTAACTATTATATTTCTTTGATATCAGTAATAATAAAGCAAAGCAAAACACTCAAATTTGAAGAAGTCCACAGCAGGAGTCACCAGAGGTCCTACACTAAAATTATCCATAAAGCCTATAAACTGACTTCCTAAATTATTAAGTCAGTTTAGTTGGTCACCTCATCTTCCTGCAACTTGCTATGAAGACAGACATTTGGAGCCACAGGGTTGAACTGCAGAGGATTAGCCCTCTGGATAGTTTCTATAAATAACTTCCAGACAGTTTATTCATTGTAGCTGATTAAGTTTAGGCAAGTTTAGGAAGACAAAGAGGAAAAAAAATGGAAGGTGCTCGATCTTACTTTGATATGGCAGCTCAAATAAAAACAGCCTTTTTCTAGTACCAGCTGGCTGATACCACCTCCTTCAGCAATGTTAGCATATTATTACTTAACTGTTTTACAAAAAATGGAAAGCTTCAAGAAGTTACCAAAGTAGTGTTCAGCTATTACACAAGATAAAAAGTAGATAGAGAGAATTTATTAAAAACATACCGCAGTGGAGTGCTCCTTCTTTTCATGGAGCCTTGCACTTCGACGTTCCTCAGAGTATGCATGTTGCTTTAAGGCATTGAAGACTTGATTTGACAGCTTTAGGTCCATTCCAATTCCATCCCCAACTTGGAATTCTGGTGCAAACTACAAGTAGAAATAACAGAAATTTAAGCCTTGTTACTAGCAGACACCAAGAGTTGGCACAAACAGGAATTCCTCATTCTGATTTGGAAATACCCCGGGTAGATTAGGACCTATCTGAAACCCACTTTGTATAATGTTGTCACTATGTTAAAAAACTTATTGCTTTAAACTCAGAACTCAAAGTTCTGCCCAAATAGATATGAGATTACCTAACATCCTGCAAAAATAGCACTTGCAGCATTTCCTTAGTTGCAGAAGTTGCACCACTTACCTTAAAGAAAATGGAAGGCATGTACTATATAGATAAACAGACTGAAAAGCTGCAAGTTAAACAATTGACTGAAAATAAGTTACTTGGCTCATCAGACAAAATTAATAAAAAAAAGAGGTTACACAATAGCTATGCCTTTCAAAAGTAACTTCAGTGTTTTATTTGCCTGTGTGCCAAACTTGCTGACAGTTTTGTTTTGCAAAAACAGTTCTGTGCAAACTTTTGAATCATGGTCAATAACAAACTATTATTAAACACAAAATCCGCACAACTCAAACTGCTGATTTGAAACCAAACACTACATTCTTTGATTTGATGGGAAAAAAAAATTCACCCTATCCAGCAGACAGATGGACAAACATTATTTCTTTCGTTGAATTGCAGCATTCCAGTTTTATATGCAAAATAAATTTCCCTAAGTTTTCACTTACATTTTCCATGCGAGCAGTGTTCTTTCTTCCGCATACCACTTCATCATGTTTAGTAGTGATATCTTTTCCTTTTCCTATGAAACCTCTTCTTGGTGTGGTAGTAGGTTTATCTGCCAGCAGTGAGAAAAATAAATCAAACTTTACACCTAACCAAACATAATTTATGCTCACAAAGGTCCCACAATGTCCACAAATGTAACCTAATTTCAGATTACTTCAACTGTATGATCTTAATGAAGTTTTCTCTTATCCTAAGCATGACAGCTTCTTTTGCTATGTTATGACTTACTTCTACATCTCCTCTGTGGTGTCAAGACACATTTTTGGCATATTAAGGCAGGAATATTCAATGTCATGGGAAGATGATATTGACCCTAGCAAAATGTAGATGACAGATATGCCCATCTCAGAATACTTTCCACGTACAATAGTTATTTAGCCAGATTCAGCCACTGAAGCCAGCCAATATACTGGCAGACGGAAGCCTGAAATTACCTGCCCAACCTCCTGCTGACACCTCCCAACAAGGTAACCTGCTTTTACATATAACTGGTATACCTCCTTACATTCAAAGAACACTTGATTTAACTATGTCTTAGGCCTATGAACTGAAGAAATTGTATTGTTTAAAACTGCCCCATACCTGCTCTGTAAGGATCATGACGGGTATCCTGCCAATCAACCTCATCCTCTGAGCTGTCACTGTCATAGGGATGCACCTTCCGATAATTTTCAAAGGATATGGAGACTTGAGAAACAAAACAAAGTAAATATATCAGTGATTATCAGGGATTTGCTACTTCCTCACATCTCTGCCAACTTAAACAGAGTGCCAAGAATATCTCCAAAGCAAAAATATTTCTTTTGATGAAGGTACCTTTGCTATCTCCGTTAATCTTCTTCTCTTCACGCCGAAGCTGTGCATCATATTCCCTGTCAAATTCCATCTGCAGCATCTGAGCTAGCATTAGGTCACTAGAAGTGTCAATATTTTCTCCTGTAATAAATGGACCTTCAGCAACACTGTGTGAGATGAAAGCAGAAATTTAAAAAATTTAAACACAGCAATCTAAGCATAAACCACTGCTTTGTATCATTTCATCACTCTATACAAAAGACTTCATGTAGATCTACACAGAAAGGAATGGATCTCAGCTGTGTGCCTCCCCTTTAAGCCAACACTAAATATTAATAGATCATGACTTCATTTCTCTTTGCTACTTTTTTATGATGGACACATTACCTAAACTTTTACTTGCTTACCATTCTGTAAGAAGCATTAAGCTCTATTTTTAAGGTGTCCTTCACAAAAAAAAAAAAAAAAAAAGAAATCATATAGGTGTATGTGTGTGTATACATAGTTATATGTTTTGTAAATAAAAACAAATAAAACCCCAAATAGTGTCTCTTTGCTTTGCTCTGCTTCACAGGAAAGACTGCAGTAAAAATTTTTATAAGTTTAGAACTAGTAAGTTCTTGGCCCTTGTTTAGAGCTTTCAAGTAGTAGGAGGATACAGGTAATATATCTGGTAAATCCTGAAATAACATTTTACACTGTTAAAAGGAGTCTCTAAAAGGGTATGAAAAAAAAAAATTCTGAGATTTCTCTAAACATAGCTTACAAACTAGGTTAATGCACCACCCAGAAAATGCAAAGAAAACATCAAGAAAGAAGGAAGGGCAACAAAGAAGAGAATCTAAGGAAGATTTTTACTGGGGAAGCCATCTGCACTGAAAAAGATCTGAAGAAGCAGAGTTAGGAGGCAACAGGCAAAGCATTTGCTATATTGCTATACACTAAACACATTGTAAGAACATGCACAAGAGAGAGAAGATGGCAGCACAACTATGGAGATCACTAATCCAGGGCTCGGACTTACGCAACCACTTCAGGAAAAGCAGCATTTTCCTCTTCCAGCTGCAGTTCTTTTGCCAGCTGTTCACTCATTACATCAGCAAGAGAACATGATATTGATGTTGTATTAGGGGTTCCCCACGGACACTGTAAATAAACATTTCATTCAAATCAGCAAGATTTGTAAAGTGACAACACAATAATCAGGATAATTAGCTATCGCTGGCACCAAAATAAGCTCATGTAATCTTGTAAGAGCTTGTCTTCTACAGATACTTAGGGAACTATGGTGTACTACTCAAAGAGTAGCTTCATAAACTCAGTAGGGAGAACTGGGGTTGAAAAGATGTTGGTAGTCACTAATCGGGGGAGAAAAAAGTCAGCTTGTCAGTACCCTCTGAAGATAGGGTAAAGCCTTCCCAGAAAGCTTGCTTACAAGTGCAGACACAATCTGTATAAAACTTCTATTGGAATAACACAACCGTGATAGCTTCTGCACAGCTTCCTCCCCCGTGTTTAGGACCCTAAAAGGACAGCCACCATAAAACATGCTCTCAAAAACGCAGAAGCACACCCATAACCTCGCTGGGGGAGGCGGCGGCTCCGAGTGACTCACTGCCTACCGCCGTGACAACCAAGCTCGCTTAGCTCCGACTCCCTGCTCGCCAGCAGAGCTTGGAGAGAAGCAATGGCATTTATCAGGCTGCCACAGCAGCCCTGTCCAGCAAGTAGATAATTGCCGTTCCCCGTCAATCGCTGCTCGGGTGGCTCTGCCGGGTGACCGCGACCCTGGCGGTGCTGACACTGCCCCGCAGCGCCCTCTCCATGGCCTCAGTTCTCCTCCTCCACCTCCCCGGAGCCCGGACAGCGGCGGCCGCCCCTCTGCGGCCCCGGGCTGCCGGCACAGCGCTCACCTTGCTCTGCCAGGCGGGGCCCGGACCGGCGTCGGGGGGGGCGGCGGCGGCGACTCCCACCGAGTCCATGGGACAACACGCAGGGGCGGGCGGGGAGCGGCAGGAGCGGGGTCTCTCTTCGGGGCAGCGACGCTCCGACTGCGAAACCTTCCGGGTCCTGCCCGCTCCTCCCCGGCCGTCACGGGCCGTCAGGCGGCCCATTGGCCGCCGGCTCGGGCATCGCCCGCCTTTCCGGTGATGTCAGCGGGGCGGCCTCGGGGCCCCGGCGGAGCCCTCGGTACGGCTGGGCCGCGGCTCCGGCGCCTCGGCCCGCCGGGCGGCCCTGGAGGGCTGAGGGACAGCGGGACAGCGCCAGGCGCTGGGGCTGGGCTGGCGGCAAAGCCAACGGCGGGGAATTAAATAGCTGGCGTTTGTTTTTATCTCAGGAAATAACCGAGGGAACCGTGGAAAAAAGCCTAACCAAACCATACCATGAGCGAATGGCAAAACAAATGGACGAAATGGAGTCCAGAGAAGGGCAAGGAAGCTGGTGAAGGGTCCGGAGCCCAAGTCCTATGAGGAGTGGCTGGGGGAGCTGGGATTGTTTAGCCTGGAGGAGGCTCAGGGGAGACCTTATTTGGGAGACCTACATCTAACTGATGTAGGTATCTATCCTACATCATATCTTATGGATCCCCTCTCCATCAGGGGAGACCTGCAACCTGAGAGGAGGTTGTAGCCGGGGGGAGGGGGGTCAGCGTCTTCTCCCAGGCAGCAAGTGACAGGACAAGAGGACATAGTCTTAAGCTGCACCAGGGAGACTTGGGTTGAACATTAGGAACAATTTCTTCCCAGAAAGGGTGATAAAATATTGGAATGGGCTGCTGAGGGAGGTGGTGGAGTCACTGTCCCTGGAGGTGTTTCAGGAAAGACTGGACGTGGCACGTAGTGCAATGGTCTAGTTGATGTGGTGGTGTTGGGTCATCGGGTGGACTTGATGATCTCAGAGGTCTTTTCCAACCTGATTGATTCTGTGAAATTAAATAGGTGATGTTTGTTTTTATCTCAGTAAGTATCTGAGGGGACGGGAAAAAAAAAAACCCAAACCAAACTGTAAGCAAACAATTTAATCCCAATCCCATATCTCATGGTAAATACAAAATTAAAGATTTTGTATGTGACCTACCACTTCTTACACTTCAATTTTATACATAATATTTATCTGGAAAATAGTATTGTGACTGAAATGCCCTATTTCCAGGACAGGGACAACAGAATGTCATTTTGCTATGAAACAGGTGCTGGTTAGGTCTGCTTGGGCAAGTTTCCCAATAAGGAGAAAGTGATGCCTATAACCCTCGGGCCTGGCTCACCTCCAGCTGTTGAAGGTGTCTGCCAGCAGTTGTAGAAAAACATGCCATCACAATTGCCATCAATAACCTGAAAAACAACCGAGCAAAGTTGTCTGGCTCCAAGAGCCGAAGTGGTAAGGGGTATAGCTCCTCCAGCCTGCTCGGAGTAAGTTATGGGTTACACATCTAGCAAAGCCCATGCTGCTGGGCACGCCCAGCAAAAGCCACTCTCATCAACTCTCAGGCATGCAAGAATCAGCTTCATTGGCCAAAGTTCGTACAATTTGTCTTTAGCAACCTGCAATGACGTAACAGTGCAATCTCCCATGACAATTTGTTCCAGTGTTCATTATTGCAGGAAGTCCCCGACTAAAAGTCAAACCACTTGGAAGGTGGTAGGGACCCAGGTTGTAATGCACAACCTGCAAGTGCTACACAAGCTTGTGCCATGGAGAGACTATAATGTCATAACATCATCTGGGTTGAAAAAGACCTTTAAGATCATCAAGTCCAACCATTAACACAGCACTGCCAAGTGCTGTCGAGGGTGGATGGGTACCAGTGTGGTTCTTGTCCATTCTGCGCTTAGCCCTGGCAGAAAGAGATTGTTTCTTTGCCTTTGCAGCTGCCTTTTTGGGATGTGAAGATTGCTGCCATACCCCCTTCAGTCTTCTTTGTCTAAATTTAACAGTTTTATAAATGAGCAGAATATCAAAGCAGTGTCCTGCTGCCCTGGGAAAATCATTGTTCTTGCACAGCTGTGCAAGCACTGATTAAGAAAATGGGTTTTGGTAGTTTTTGATTCAAACAGTGACTTAATATTCCTGTATCTTGTTATTAAGTTTTTAATTTTCAAAAATAAGTCTTCTATTTTAGTCTCTTAAATATTACTTGATTAGGCCTTGATCCCATGACCTCTTATATGAATGGATCAAGCTTTGAACTGAATTGTATTAAGAAGAAATGTTCTGTAAAATGACACCTAAACTAAATTATTTGCAACACATTCGCATCTCGCAATGAAAATAGTTAAAAATCTAGATAGAGCAGAAACTTCCCTTCGTATTAATCAAAATTTAGAGCAAAGCTGTATAACAATTACTTAGTATGCAATTCAAGTCAGTCATGATAAACAACACTATCAGAACTTTATAGCTTCATTCTTGATCCCTGACTGTAAGTACTTTACAAGAATTCAAACCTACCTCTGCATTTTGCTGTAGGAAGATATATCATCTTTGTCCAAGTTTCCCACTTGTAATAAGAAATACTGCAAAAAGCCAAGAGATATCACTCTGGAAATGATACCCCACTGAAATATGAAGCCAAAAGTGCTCCTAGCACATACTTTCATTAGCCTCTGTAGATCTGTAAACTTTTCTTATTCTTTTTTTAAAGCTTTACAGGCTGAATTTTTGGCACAATGCAAAGTATACCTTTGCTTGCAAAATAGACTTCTGCCATGCTTATATAAGCAGGTGCTCTACAAAGTGGAAATGCTGTGTTGCCTACCTTGCCATCTCTAACACTGACAGTGGCTTGTCAGTGATCTCTGTAGGCCTTTCAGCACTAGAAATCTGATGTCTGTTTTGGGCCACCACCTTACAAACCAGATAGGATCACATCTGATGCACCAAAATGCTTGAATTTGTCCTGGTGCAGTGGTGACTGTTCAGCTGTTGCACTCTGTTGACTTTGTCTTTGGAGGCTAAACATAGCAGGTTAGACAGGCTCATTTTATGGGCTGGATTTGACTACCTAGTGCCCCCTTAACTCCCCAGTTTAGGTCATGCTCAGTTCCTTATTTATGCTGTTTAATCCTCTAAAAATAGGGTGTATGGGTACAGAGAGAGCGTTATGTGAGCAAAGTCAAGGTGAGAAGTGCAGAGATAGGACCTTGCTAATACCAGGTCTGGCAAGAATGAGGCTTCCCTGGGCCATAATAAAAGGATGTCCAGTAACCATAACTAAAGAGGGAGTGTCTTTCTCTGCTTCTCTACCTCCCTGGGATATTTATAGCTTACATGTCACCAATTAATCATATGATCATAGAATAGTTTGGGTTGGAAGGGGCCTTTAGCCATCTAGCTCAACCTCCCTGCTGTGAATAGGGACACCTTCAACTAGATCAGGTTGCCCAGAGCTTCACCCGTACTGAATTTGAACACTTCGAGGCAGATCCACCACCTGTTCCAGTGTCTCACCACTCTCACTGTAAAAAATATCTCCCTTAAATCAAGTCTAAATTCACCCTCTTGAAGATTAAAACTATTCCCCCTCTTTCAGTTTAGAACTATTCCCCCTTGTCCTATCACTGCATGCCCATGTAGGAAGTCTCTCTCCATCATTCTTGTGGGCCCCCTTTAGGTACTGGAAGGCCTCCCCAGAGCCTTCTCCGGGCTCAACAACCCCAGCGCTCTCAGCCTGTCCCCATAGGAGAGGTGCTCCAGCTCTCTTGATCATCTCTTCGCGACTGGACTCGCTCGCTCTAACAGGTCCATGTCCTGTGCTGAGGGCCCCATAGAGCTGGACGCAGCACTCCAGGTGGGGGTCTCACAAGGGCAGCGCAGAGGGGCACAAACCCCCGCCTTTCCCTGCCGGCCGCGGTTCCCGGGATGCGTCCCGGGATGCGGCCGTGTCCGCACTGGGAGCGCCGCCGGCGGGTCCCTCACCGGGCACGACCGCCAGGCGGCAGCAGCGGCGCCCGCGGAGGCGGCGCCCATCGGAGCGCGACGTGTCGCTGCCATGGCCGGCGGGCGCCGCCGGCGGTGACAGATGTATTTGAAGAGGCCGGCGGGCGGCCTCGCCTTCTGCCTCTTCTACCTGGCGTCCTGCTTCACCAACAAGGTGAGGGCGGGCGCGGGGCCGCCGCAGCCTCGGAGGGGCCGGGCCGGGCCGGGCCGGGCCGGGCGGAGCGGAGGGAGGTGCGGGGGCGCTGGGCAGGCGGTCCGCTCGGCAGGAGCGGGGGCGAGGTAAGTGGCGGGACCCAGCAGGAGGCGAAGGAGCGATGATGCCCTCTGCTTTCCCTGCTCTGCCCTGCCCTGCCCTGCGCTGCTCAGGGAGAGCCGCGGACCAGCCCCTCCCGGACGAGACTACCCCACGAGTGAAAAATTCCCCGGCATTCCAACCCGAAGGGCCACCGCCGCCCAGCAGTGTACGCTCCCGAAACTGGGGATAGGACTGCCTGCTACCGGTCTCGTTTATCTCTCGGTGTGTGACATCTTAACCTTTCCACGGTACAGAAGTTCCAATACTGGCTTGTTCAGGAGAGCAAAAAGGTGGCATCATATAATTCCAATGAATGAAGTGTTATAGATCCAGAAATTAGGCTGCTCTGAAAGTATCTCTGATGCTGTATATATATTGCATTATTGGATATCTAGCAACTGCACCCATTCCTAAGAGAAGATCTGTTAACTGGAACAATAATACCAAGGGGAAAATCTGTAATATTGAAAGTGTTGTACCAGTAGTGGAACAAATGTTAACTTCCATGGATCCTGCAGCAACTTAATCAGTCAGCAGATTAAAGACAAAAATTTTGTTTTCCATTGTGTAACTAAGTTGCTTATTAGTGTTGCTGAAACGTTTAAGCAAAAGGAGAAGTAGACTGCAGAAGGCCACATTGTGAATAAAACTGTAGAGTTAAAACACAGTTTGAAATATTTTTTTCACTTTGTGAGGAGGAGATAGAGTAACTGCTCTTTGCTGTCCTGTTTATGTTAGAGTATGTGTTTCTGGTTCAGATTTGTGAAAGAAAAGTTGTTATTGAAGGAATCATTACAGATTTCCTGGGAGAGGGCTAGAGAAAAGCAGCATTTCAGAGGTGAAAATGAAACCTCTTCTGGGCAGTGGCCACGAGTTTCTGTTCCAAGGTACGCTTGCCATT